ACGGGACGCCTCGAGGACACGGGACGCCTCGAGGACACGGGACGCCTTGGGGACACGGTAACTTCTTACTTCATTCATAAAGATCTGCTGACGTGAGGGAGATGGCTCAAATCTGCTGAAGAAGCTGAAACTGAGTTGGTAAAGCTAAAACAAGCTACATGTGAGCGAAAAGCAAAAAGTAGCAAAAGGAGAGCTAAAAGCAAAGGTTAGTTTCAGGCTAGCATAAAGAAACAGCTCCAGCAGCTGAAGCAGGTTTCAGAGAGAACGTTCTGAAGGATGTCCTCGTGTCTCTGTGAAGACAGTATTTGTAAGAAGTCCCAGCAGCCGTCTCCTGAAGGAGCTGAACGTCGTAACGTGCAGCTAAAACAGAAGAGACGCAGAACATCAAAGCGTGACTCGGTGGTCAGACGTTTAGAACTTCTACCAGGAGCTTCTGGTTTAAGTTCTGATGCTTTCTCTAAAGTCAAGGTAATAATAATAGATAGTTGATGCTGTGTGATAATGAGAGAGGGGCAGCTGGAAGTGGAACAGATGATATTAAAGCTGCAGTTGTTGAAGAGAAAAATGAAACCATGTTCCACAAATCAGAGGAATCCAGACGAGCAGGAAGTGAATCAGGTGGTTTTGTAAGATTTATAATTAGGAAGAAGAGGGCCTTGGAATGACCCTCATTTGAACTGATTAAACTGGAATAACACAGATAATTACATGATAATAATAACTGATGTTTTCTGAGGACACTGCCTGGTAAAAACCCGTCTCCACCTGGATGTAGCTCATGAAACAGGTCCGAGCCTCCTGGGTCATCACTGCACGGACGATCATCTTTCAGCTGCAACAAGTTCTTTAACTCCAATGAGTTGTTTCTCATTTCTTCAACAACATGATGAAAGACTCATGGTGGTCGTGGAGAAGATGTCCGTCTGTTGGAGAAGGGTCGAATCATCGGCATCAAGCAGAGGAAACATCTCAGGAGATTGTAGAAACTAGAACTGGGTTAAGAACCGTCCAACGATTATTAAAAACTGGAAGGACAGTGGGGACCCATCGTCTTCCAGGAAGAAATGTGGCTGGAAATAAATCCTGAATGATCGTGATCAGTGATCGTTTAAACATTTGGTGAAATCAAATGGAAGAAGAACACCAGCAGCACTCAGGGCTGTGGTTCATAGAGACAGGAAGAACATTTAAACATGCACAATGTGAAGGAACTCCAGGGACTGGGACTGAACAGCTGTGGAGCCTTAAGAAAACCACTAACCAGTGAGGCTAACTGGGAAAAAAGGCTTCAGTTTGTTAGGGAGCATAAATATCGGACTGTGGAGCAATGGAAGAAGGTCATGTGGTCTGATGAGTCCAGACTGACCCTGTTCCAGAGTGATGGTGCATCAGGGTCAGAAGAGAGGCAGGAGAAGTGATGCACCATCAGGACCAGTGTCTCGTCATCAATGGAAGATGTTGGTGAAACATTAAAGCAACACTGGATGAAACGGATCTTGTGACGTTGAAGAAGTTTATTGAAACAAAGACACAGAGAACGATGTGATCAAAGATAAAGGAGCTCCAACCAAATATCAGAGTGTGACCTTTGTTTTGGACCGGACAGTGTACTTCGATAATAATAATTGATAATTGATGTTATCTGATAATAATTAGATTCTCCTGCAGATGTTCTGACGTGTTGATGTGAACTGTATGCAGGAAACGGTTCCTGCAGCCCCCAGCGCCACCACGCACCTACAGAAGGCCCAGCAGAACCTCAGCCTCTCAGCCAACAGAACCTCAGATGGTTCTCCTTCCTCCTCACAGCAGAACTTGACGATCAATGGAACAGTCCATCCTTCTGCATCTTCCAACGTCAGCGATGTGGGCACCACCGCCACGGCTCCAACTTCGGTTCAGGCTGGTGAGTGAGAACCGTGGTTCTGCAGGCCCGCGGTGTCGGTTCTGATGACCTGAGGTGACCTTTGTCCTGCAGCTCAGATGTTGTTTTCTCAGGCGTAGCCGAGTTTCAGCTTCTGCAAACAGGAAGAACCGGTGCTGTCAGCTCTGAGCACGTGTAAACACCTGAATATAGAACCAGCTGGATTACCTGCTGGGTCAGAACCTGAATGCAAAACCTGAAACGGGTCCAGTTGTTCTGGGCCTCTGTGGGTCCAACTGCTTGGTCTGAGCTGCCACAGCTGGAGACTCATAACTGTAATAACATCTGGGGGTGTGCACGTTGTTCCATCTGCTCCACTTCAGAAATGCAGATTTGGACCTTCAAAAATGTGTTTTTTATCTTCAGTGTTTTTAGACACGGAGCTCCTGCACGAGTCGGAACAGATTCCATCCTCTGGAGTCACAGGAACTTAATTAAGAAGACTTCAAGATGTCAGCAGAGGCTCGGAGACTCTGAGACTTTCAGATTCTGAAAGTCTCAGAGTCTGAGACTCAATCCAGTTTATTTCTAAAGCACCAGTTCACAACAAAGTTGTCTCAGGGACTTTACAGGAACATTCACATAAAAGCCAGTTAGTAAAGTTCTCTATCTGAGGAATCCAGCAGACAAGTTGAATCTTGGCTTCGTTGCAGTCTCCCATCCTGAGCAAGCACAGTGGAGACAGTGGAAAGGAAAACTCCCTTTAACAGGAAGAAACCTCCAGCAGAACCAGCTCAGGACAAGAGGCCATCTGCTTTGACCGGCTGGTTGAGAGGACAGGAAGGAGAGACAGACGAACACAGAATGGTAGGTCCAGATATAGGTCCAGGTCCAGGTATAGGTCCAGGTATAGGTCCAGGTCCAGATATAGGTCCAGGTCCAGATATAGGTCCAGGTATAGGTCCAGATATAGGTCCAGGTCCAGATATAGGTCCAGGTATAGGTCCAGGTCCAGATATAGGTCCAGGTCCAGATATAGGACCAGGTCCAGATATAGGTCCAGGTCCAGATATAGGTCCAGGTCCAGGTATAGGACCAGGTCCAGATATAGGTCCAGGTCCAGATATAGGTCCAGGTCCAGATATAGGACCAGGTCCAGGTATAGGTCCAGGTGTACCTGAAAGACAAAAACACGTTAGGATAGAAAAAGTAATTACAACTGCAGTGTCCCTGGTTTATCTGGGGTGTCTGGGACCACGCCCCCTGCGTCTGGGACCACGCCCCCTGCACTAAGTAACGAACCGTGAAGCAGTCGTCTAAGTTCAAGTTCAGTAAACTTTGTCATGACACGTGTCAGGCTGTAATCACACTCATCACCTGTTCCTCCCCATCTCCCTCCTTAAATAAACTATTTAAATTAAATACTGTAACATGTTAAATAAATAATCGGTGCAGCATGGATTGATTATTTAAAATGTTACAGTATTTAATTAAAACTGTGGAGAAGAGAAGAGCAGCAGGACACGACAGGATGTCACGCAGCTTCAGCTCTGCAGCACGGAGCACAAACTTCTGGATCGATGACGCTGAAACAACTGAACATAGAAGTTCTAAAATAATTAAAAGTAACTTTTAACACTTTTATACATTGAGGAAAATAAGTATTGAACACTCTGCCACTTTGCAAGTTCTCCCACTTAGAAATCAAGGAGAGTCTGAAATGTTCATCTTAGCTGCATGTCCACTGTGAGAGACATCTAAAGAAAATACAGAAATCACAATGTTTGATTTTTTTATAATTTATTTGTGTGTTACTGCTGCAAATAAGTATTTGAAAATCACTGTTAATATTTGGTGCAGTCGTCTTTGTTTGCAGTGACAGAGGTCAAAGGTTTCCTGTAGTTCTTCACCAGGTTCATCAGGGACTGGATGGCTTTAAACTTCTTAAGTTTTGATGAAAAGAAGTCTGAAGTCATGTTGTTCCCTCCCAACGACACGATCACAAACCACTGCATCGACCTCTCCGCTCTAACCCTGTCAGAAAAACAAAGAGTCACTAATCTGGGCGTGAATGGACCCTTCCCTGAAACTTAACAATCATGTAAACATGATTAAATCATGCTTCTTCCAACTGAGGCGGCTGTCTAACCTGAAGCCCATGTTGTCCAGAAAGAACCTGGAGACAGTAATACATGCATTCATTACATCTAGGCTTGATTACTGCAATTCACTCCTGTTTGGTATCAGTCACACCTCCATTGCACGACTACAACTGGTCCAGAATGCAGCAGCCCCATTTTTAACCAGTACAGGCAAAAGAGAGCACATTACACCAGTTTTGGCCTCACTGCACTGGTTACCGGTTCACTTTCGAATCCAATTCAAAATACTCCTTTATGTCTACAAATCACTGAACAGTTTTGCCCCCCCATCTCTCTGATTTGCTACAAACGTATGTCCCACCACGTTCCCTGAGGTCAGCGGACCAGTTGCTCCTCACAGTTCCAGGAACTCGTCTTAAGCGCAGAGGTGACAGGGCCTTCTCTGTAGCAGGACCAAGACTTTGGAACGAGTTACCTCTGCTTGTCAGACAGGCCCCCTCCCTCTCTGTTTTCAAGTCCCGTTTAAAAACTCACTACTATTCAGTAGCTTTCAACACCAGATGATCTGTGTTTGATCCTGTATGCTCCACACTGGTTTATCGTCATTATCTGCATCGTTTTTATGTCTATATTCTGATTTACCTCATTTTGTATTCTGCTTTGTGTGTTACCTGTTGTTCTGTCTGTACAGCACTTTGGTTGGCCTTGTTGCTGTTTTAAGTGCTCTCTATATAAAATGGTATGGTATGGTAAAGTGGTATGGTAGGTTCACTGCAGCAGAGATTCTGTCCCATTCCTCCACACATCTTCTCTAGATCAGCAGGTTTCTGGGCTGTCACTGAGAAACAGAGTTTGAGCTCCCTCCAAAGATTTTCTACAGGGTTTAGGTCTGGAGACTGGCTGGGCCACTCCAGAACCTTGATCTGCTTCTTACGGAGCCACTCCTTGGTTCTCCTGGCTGTGAGCTTCGGGTCATTGTCATGTTGGAAGACCCAGCCATGACTCATCTTCAATGCTCTCACTGAGGGGAGGAGGTTGTTTCCCAACATCTCTCAACACATGGCCCCGGTCATCCTCTCCTTAATACAGTGCAGTCGTCCTGTCCCATGTGCAGAAAAACACCCCAAAGCATGATGCTTCCACCCCCATGCTTCACAGTAATGATAGTGTTTTTGGGATGGTACTCATCTGTCTTCGTCCTCCAAACACGGCGAGTGGAATTAAGACCAAAAAGTTCTATTTTGGTCTCATGTGACCACAGAACTTTTGATGATTTTACTATGTCAGAGTTCCTTTATTGTCGTTCCACCATATGTGGTAGAACCAGATTATGTTCACAGGGTCCCAGTTACATCCAACAATAAAATGTAAAAGAAAATCAGTGATAAGATCAAAGATATGAACTAAAAAAATCAACTAAAAATACACGAAGCACTAAAAACAAAAACGTCACGTGGAACAGCAGCACGAACATGAGTCTGTGTGAGCAGATGAGTATGAATGAACACGTCAACATGAAACAGATCAGCAGCAACATGAAACAGATCAGCAGCAACATGAAACAAATCAGCAGCAACATGAAACAGATCAGCAGCAACATGAAACAAATCAGCAGCAACATGAAACAGATCAGCAGCAACATGAGACAGATCAGCAGCAACATGAAACGGATCAGCAGCAACATGAAACAGATCAGCAGCAACATGAAACGGATCAGCAGCAACATGTGATTTTTGACTCATGATTCTCCTGGTTAGAGATTCATGAGTCTAACAGCCTCAGGGTAGAAGCTGTTCCTCAGTCTAGTGGTTCTACACTTAATGCTCCTCAACCTCCTTCCTGAGGGGAGTGGGGCAAAAAGTGTGTGTGCTGGGTGAGTGTGGTCCTTCATGATGCAGGTGGTCCTCTTCCTGCATCTGGAGGATGCCACTCTGTTTTTGTTTTTATTTCCAGAAGAAGAAGAAGTGTCTTCAGAGGTTTTTGTGTTGTTTCCTTGAGTAGTTCTTGGTGCAGCGCCCCCACAGGCGAGTGGGGGAACAGGTTGACTCAATTACTCAGTGCAGTGTGAATGTGTGGTTTTCAATTGAACCGGGTCTACCAGACTATCAGGTGTGAAAACACCCTGAGGCTCTGAAACTGGAGAGCTCGTGTCATTTTTCTTTTCATTCAACCTTTATTTCTACAAGTTAGTCTCATGGAGCCTCGAGGACTCGTCTACAAGACAGACCTGATCTCAACAAAGAGTGATGACAACAATGGACGATCATAAAAGAGGCGTACAGATTTAATTATATTTTTTTCATATTAAAATAAGATTGCAAAAACAGCTAGATTATAAAGCGGTGTAGAAAACTAAAAACAGGAACATCTGCAGGAACTGAACAGATGTTTAAAGCCACTTGGAGAGGTCAAGGTCGAGTGCTTCAAGTCTTTTTACAAGATATTCCAGGAAACAGGAGCAGAGTAGGAGAAGGTCCTTTTGCCTAGTTCAGTCCTCACTGAGGGAACACTGCAGGTAATGATGTCCTGAGAGCGCACGCTGTAGCTGCACTCACACAGAGACGTGTCTGCAGTGTGAGTCAGTTTGTTGAGGTTTTGACGACTCCTCTGACATGTTTGGATGAAGATCTGTCCATCAGCTCCTCTGTCAGTCCCGTCTTTAAGGAGGTGTCTCGCTGCATCCTTGAGGGAGTCCTCAGAGAGCCTCGAGTCTTCCTCTGAGTCTCAGAGGTCCTCAGTCCTGTCGCTTCACTTTCAAACATGTCCAAATGATGAGAACTGTTCCGGTCTCGTTGTCTCCAAGCCTTCGGTGCTGACAACAAAACGTTAACTTCCTGTGTCCAGGTGTGTTCTCTGAGAGGAGGCGCCTCCTTCTGTCTTGAGTCAGGTCAAAGGTCAACACCTCGGGAACTAGTCTGGATCTGAACCGGAGTTTTTAATCATGAACAGGTTCTCCTGTGTCTTCTGGGCTCTGATGCTGTGTTTTGGTTCCAACAGTCCGGGAGCTCGTGGTGTCGGCAGGTGAGAGCGTGGAGGTGACCCTGCCTCGCAGCGAGGTGGAGCTCAACGCCTACGTGGTCCCGCCTCCCCCCCCAGGTAAAAACAGGTTTCCACCTGCAGGAGGCAGAACCTCTGACTCGTGGAGGTTCTCAAGGGAGACCAAGTCCAAACCAAATAAAATAACTTCTTTTCATCAACTGTAAGACAAAAGTTCTCCTAAAAGAACTGAAGCTATACCAAACGTAGCGTTAACGTGTGTCACTGGACGTTTCCGCTCTGCCTCGGCTGCCCACCTGCAGCACCTGCACAGGTGTCGGTCCAGTTTGTTCTTTCAGGTGCCATGCTGCGCAGGATGCTTTAACGTTTCGTCCTCTGCAGGCAGCAGCTACGCCTTCGACTGGCGCCTCATCACTCACCCCAAAGATTACAGCGGGGAGATGGAGGGCAAGAAGAGCCGAAGCCTGAAACTCAGCAAGGTGCTCGGCTCGTCTTCACCTTTACCTGTCTGACGTTAGAGCTGCAGCTGATCTCACTTCCTGTCTGTGTGTGTCAGCTGACTGTGGGCCTGTACGAGTTCGGGGTGACGGTGGACGGGGAGGGGGCCCACGCTGAGGGTTACGTCAACGTCACCGTCAAACCAGGTGAGACAGAAACACAGGTCAACTACCTTCATCACCTGAGGATGATGATTTAAGAGGATAGTCTTCCTCAGATGATGAAGAGTGATGAACAAACCGTTTTCTCTGCTCAGAACCTGAAACTTTATGAAACCATGAAGCAGTCTTTGTTTTCATGTTTCTGATGACGTGATCGCCATCTTGATGTTGCTGAGGTCACTTGGCTGTGGTGGCCATCTTTAATCAGGCTGACTTCAAAACATAATTCTTTGTAGATGCTCATCTAGTGATGAGTTTCTTAGAGCTTGAATCAGATCTGTCCACTACCTCATGATATATTTTGCTAACAGACAGCCTGCCGTTCATAGCGGTAGGTGAGGATTTATTCTGAGCCTCTTGGGTCCATTTGTTCTGCTGCATTTGGATCCTAGAAGGTTGTTCCACACCAAAAGTCCTGCTGAGACCAAGAAGGGATTTTATTTTGATAAACAGCAGGAAGTCCAGATGCTATTTATAAATAAAATGAGATGTTTAAAACACAAAAATGTTTTAGTATTGATATCCAAAGGGATTTTATTGTGTAAGCAGCCTGATATGACGCCTGCAGCAGGCTTTTAATTGGTTCTGACCCACTTACGGGTCCAGCTGCGGTGCAAAACGTGCACTGTCTCGCATGTTTCATAACTCCTCCTCTTCACGTCAGACTTCCTGTCTTCTTATCCTCCTGACAGAACCGCGAGTTAACAAGCCTCCCGTTGTTGTGGTCTCCCCAAAGTTCCAGGAGATCTCTCTGCCTACAAGCTCCACGGTGATCGACGGCAGCCGTGAGTCTCTGCACGACAACACGTTGACCAACACGCTGACCAACACGCTGACCAACACGCTGA